AACAGTAATGCACAAACTGACTTACTGGAGCCCATTCTATACGGAGAGATACCATGCTCACAGGTTGGGGGGGTGGCTTGGTCCTACTTCCACAAGATGATGGGACAGACTTCGTAGACTTCCTAGGGCAGGCCTCACTGCCTCCAAGAAGCAGATTGGGGTGGGGGATTGGAATGTAAAAAATAAATTAATAAAAAAATACTTGCTTTGAAACCTGATGACCTCAGTTCTATGCCCCCTACCCACATAGTGGAAGGAGAGATCCAAACTCCTCAAGTTGGTCTCTTTGGTGTATACATGCCCCGTACTATACACACTACATAAACAAACAAACAAACAAGCTAACTAACTAAATATATCAATGGGAAAAAAGAAAAACAAAGTGGGCTTTTGAACCTAACTCGGATTTATGGTTTACTAAGGATAATTAAACCTAATGAATTCAATAATAGGTAAATCTTCAAATCTTACTAAAAGAAAGAAAGCATGCTTATTTTCCTTCTGAACCCAGAAAGAGGAAGCTCCAGCTATGTTCTCAGGGGAATCCATGAGAGCAAGAATGACCAGCATCTGCAGATTCTCAGTGCTGGGGTCTTGTCAGCTGGCTCTACCTCAGTGCTAGCTGAGTCACAGAGCATCTTCTGATGCAGCTGCTTACCTCCTAGAATCCATAGCATTTAAAACATGGGTTTTGAGTTACCCAATGGAGTCTGCCTTCCTAAACAAGCAAGTATTCCACAAATCTTATTACAAAAGCAAGGAGATGGGGTTATGCAGAGAGCCTTGAGAATCCTCAGACAAAAAGAGTGTGTATCTAACTCTCAAATGTGAAGGACATGTAGAAAGTGACCAAACAGTTCTCTGAAGTTGGGATCACAATACTGAGCAGTTAGAGTCTTCTGGAAGAAAGCCTGCTGGAAGTATACTCTTCAGTCAAATTTCTGTGCACACTGTTATTGGATTAATTGAGACTATCAAGTCTAATTAAAATACAATTTTCCTAATGTGTTTGTACAACATGACTCTATGTGGTGTTTTAATGGTAGATTTAAAAAATGATCAAGAACAAATAAGTTACTTAATTGTTTTAATAAGCAGTTTGCCTTCCAGATGCCTATAGTGACTTAGTGGGAGGTTATCAGAGAGGGAGGGAGGGAGGAAAGTAGGGAGGGAGGGAGAGAGAGAGAGGGAGAGAGAGATATCCAGGTCTTTCCTCAGTCTGCAGGTCAGACTATGGGCAAACAACTTTATAAAAGTTGGGTTTGGATTTGGAATTTGGGCTTTGTTTTGTTTGGACAATGTTGAGATTTGTTGTCAGTCGGGGTTCTCTAAAGGAACATAATCCATGTAAATGTGTGTGTTTGTGTGTGTGTGTGTGTGTGTGTGTGTGTGTTTCTGTGTATTACTATATTAAAAGAAGATTTATTAGATTGGCTTACACTGCATAGTCTGGATAGTCCAATGTTGGCTACCTGTACCCTGGAGAAACTGAGAACCCAGTAGCTACTCAATCCAGGGGCTGTGTGGCCTATCAGTCACAATCTAGTGAAGAAGGCCTAAAACAATCCTGAAGAGCCACACTGTTCACAATGAAAACCCAAAAAAAACAGGACTCCAATGGTAGTGAAGACAGCATTAAATATAGATATACTCATAAGCAAGAGGTAAAAGGAAACAGATAAAAAGCTTTTTTAGGTGGATTATAGAACTCAAAAGCAGGTCCTCACACTTATGGGACAAGTACTGGCTGAGGTCTTCTCCTAGTCACCATATTATCGCCCTGGCCAGTCTTATGTCAACTTTACACAAACTAGAGTTATCTGAAAGGAGGTAACCTCAATTGAGAAAAGCCTCTGTAAGATCCAACTAGGGAATTTTCTTATTTAGTTATTGATGGGGCAGGGCCCAGCCCATTGTTGGTGGTGCTATTCCTTGGATAGTGGTCTATATTCTATAAGAAAGCGAGCAGAGCAAGCCATGATAAGTAAACCAGTTAGCAGCACTCCTCCATGGCTTCGGCATCAGCTCCTGCCACTAGGTTCCTGACCTTTTTGAGTTCCTATCCTGATTTATTTCAATAATGAACAGTGATATAGAAACATAAGTCAAATAAACCCTTTCCTCCTTAAGTTGTAGTTGTGGTATCTCAAACATAATAATAGTAACCCTAAGGCAGAAAATGCTGTCAAGATAGTGGGTTATTGTGGTGACAGACATGGATTGTAGAAGAACTTTGGAACTTTGAATAAGAAGAGTCATTGAGTGTTCAAAGCTTGGTGAGCTGTTTGGTGGGAATTTGGAAGGGTAACCTGGGTCTGGCAATTTTGAAAATTCAAAGCTTACCCCCAGTGACACACTTCCTCCAACAAGACCACACCAACTCCAACAATGGCACACCTCCTAATCCTTGTAATCCTTTCAAAAAATTCCAATTCCTATGAACCTATGGGGGCCATTCTCATTCAAACCACCACATTCAACTCCCTGCCCCACCTCCAGACTTGTAGCTATATCATAATACAAAAAGATGTATCCAGTTAAGCTTCAAAAGTCTCCATAGTCTGTCACAGTCTCAACACCAGTTAAAAGTTAAAAGTTAAAAGTGGAGAGAACTAAAGATGAATGCCCAATAGAAAGATGAAAGAGAGGAGAGGAGAGGAAAGGGAGGGAATTTCAGTTCCTTAAACTGAATGTATTTATGTTCATGAAATATCACATATTTTATTTGACTCAAGAAAATATCTTAAGTATAACCCTTGGAGGAAAGGAAGCATAGTGAGGATATACTAAGGAAAACAAGACCAAACCCAACAGAGAAATTTCCAAATTATGCATCTCCATATGTGATGTCTGAGTGTTCTTCAGAACTCCATCTTCCAGCTTTGTTGACTGCAACAAACTTCTTTCTCTTGGACTGTATCTACATCATGTTTGCAACTCTTCTTGGCCAGTATCCCATGGCTCTTGTATCTCAAGGATCTTGAAGTCTCCAAAAAATTTCAGGCTTCACTCTCACACAATGGCCTCCCTGGGGATACCCATGACATATGCCTGGTCTCAGTGGCTTTCCTTAGCCACAGAGGAAGATTCCTCAATCCCTTTCTTGTATTTGTGACTATAAAGCTAGAAGCACATTGTCAAAGCTGCTCAATTCTGCTATTTGATGGGGCTGGAACTTGGCCCCTTCTTTCAATTACATTTGAACCAACTGTCAATTGTTGATGGGTCTTTTCACCACTTAAGCTTTTCTTTAATTTGTTTTCACAAGTTGGAAATTTAGCTGGGTGGATTCTTGCCCTGAGGTACCACTTCTTTTATTCCATTTAAACATCAGGCTTTTCTTTAAGTTTTTATGTTCTTGAGCACTGGCTTTAACTCCATTACACTCCCTGGTACTTCTTTTCACTTCAAACTGTACATTTTGTACATCTCTTTGTCTAACTTACTCTTTTTTATTATAGATTCTCATTAGAGTGATTACTAATAACCACATGTCAGAGTCCATTATAGGCTTCCTTGAAATCTCCACTCCCACTGCCATGAATCAAAAAATGCTTTTATTTATCCTCAGGCAGATTTTTAGGACAAGGGCAAAAAAATAGCAACATTCTTTGTCAAAATATCACAAGAATGGTTTCTAGACCACTTACTAAAATTTTTTCCCTCTGAAACTTCTTGAGGTAGGCCCCCACCGTTCAAATTACCCTCAGAATTGTCTTCTTTAATCCTACTAGGTTGACCCATTAGCTATGCTTAAAGCATCTGATTTCTTCCAACCTCTCACAGAATAGTTCACTAAGCTTTGAACACTCAATGGCTTTTCTTGAATGAAGTTTCAAAATCTTTCTACCCCCTCCCCCATCCCATGACAAACAACAAGATCAGGTCTGCACAGCAGTACCTGACAATCCTGGTACCAATTTCTGTCTTAGTTAGGATTACTAATACCATGATGAAGCACCATGACTAAAGCAACTTGAGGAGGAAAGGGTTTTCTTGGCTTACACTTTCATATTACTACTCATCATTGAAGAATATCAGGACAATAACTCAAATAGGGCAGGAACCTGGAGGATTGAGGTGATGTTCATCACCTTACTCAGCCTGCTCTTTAGCACCATCTACCCTGGGCAGTGCCTGCCCCATCAATTACTAATTTAAAAAATGTCCTAGAACTGGATATTATGGAGGCATATTATCAATTCTTAATTCTAAATTGAGCTTCCTTCTATCAGATAATTCTAGCATGTGCCAAGTTGACATAAAACAAGCCAGGACATCATATATACTCATAATGTCATGAGTGTTATGACCATGTCCATCCTGTTCCTTGTAGAATCTTCACAACTTAGCAATCTTTTCTGTCCAATTGACTATTAATTGATTCTTTTTAAAAGCAGAAGTTTGAAGGCTGTGACTTCTGATAGTTAATCTTGATTGTCAACTGGACATAAGTGGCAAGAAAGAACTTATTGAAGAATTTCATCTATTGTACTCAGTTGTGTGCATGTCTGTCTGCCGTCTTCTTGATTTCTCATTGATTTGGGAGAGTCTAGTTCGCTACAGGCAATACTTTCACTAGACAGGTGGACCTGAGTTGTATAAGAAAGATATCTGAAGGACAAATAGACCCTATCCTCCTTAAATTGATTTTTGTCAGGGCTTTATCACAGCAATAGAAAGAAAACTATGACAAGGGTTTAACTCAAGTTTAGAGTATATGCTTAGCATTATGCCTTCCATTCCAAACACACACACACACACACAGAGAGAGAGAGAGAGAGAGAGAGAGAGAGAGAGAGAGAGGTGGGGCAGGAGAGGAAGCTTATTCTTAAATCTTTAAAGGACATTTTTACAGATAAATTAGTATTGAATAGTTTATAAATTTCAGCTTATTAAAATGTTCATCTTATAATCACATGAAGTACTAATTCTTTGTTTTTCTTCCTTTAATTTATGTATCAGAGATAATAGTTAATATATGAATTATTGTTTTCCAGACTTGAAACCATTCCAGGATGGCTTATTTTGGAGTGTTCTCTTTACTGGCTATACAAAGTGTGGTGATAGGGGCTACTTTCCCAGATGAAACCATAGCTGAGTGGTCAGTAAATATGTATAACCATCTTCGAGCCACTGGAGAAGATGAAAACATTCTCTTTTCTCCACTGAGCATTGCCCTCGCAATGGGAGTGATGGAGCTTGGGGCTCAAGGATCTACTTTGAAAGAAATCCGCCATTCAATGGGATACGATGGCCTGAAAAATGGTGAGTTGTTGGGTTTTATTTCTCACAATTATTTGAGTTAAACTTTGAATTCAATCATATTGCCTTCTGCCAGAGGCAGCAAATATTTACTAGAAGTAAGAAAGCATCTTATTGCAAGAATATAGTTAGAAAGGTTAGAATAAAAAGGGCTCAGTCCAGTCTCTAGACATAGCTGAGTAAATCTAAGGAAAGTATATCTTCTTAAAAGTATCACTTAAATAAGCTTGCATATTAAAGAAAACAAAAGGTGATTCTGTAATTTCCAGTGTAAATTATCATAGCAATAAATGAAAAGGTAATGTGATGGATTATAAAGAGAGGCATATGATTATGAAGAATATCACAGTCTGCTTTATAGTCAATGATACTCTCATTGTTTAAAGAAAATCTAAGTTTTTTGAAATGTACTATTATTATAAAAATTATAGGTATTAGAGAAATAATTTTAAAATGGGGTATGATTTCTGTTTGAATGCTTCTTCCCAGTGTACACATGAGCAAATTCATTTCAAAGTTTAAAAAGAAAGTAATAGATGCTCTACTTATGATATTTAAATAGTTTGGTGAGAGAAAAATTTAAAGGAATATCTTCTAGATAATTAAATTTTGATTGGTAACCTTAAGAAAGACCAGTTGAATGCTACTAAGCCAAGGATTTTGAAAGAAAATACTTAAATTTGTTTTTTCTTTGTAGACTTTATCCAATTCACAATGAAAGGCTGTAGTTGAATCTCCCTAGCATGTGCAAGGTCCTGGGCTTGATCTCTGACTCCGCAAAACTAACAAACTAAAAACAAAACAAACAAAAACAAATAAAAGGTATCCCTTGGTGAACTGGACCAAGCTAATTTGAGCATCTAGAAGTAGCCCTTGAAGATCCTTGCTCTGTGAGAGCAAGCTTGCCTCTTTTCACTGGTCACTGTTGTCCTCATGTTTTTCACTGTGTTATAATGGTCTTTCACGACATCTGTTTCACTGAAAAACTTGTCATTTGCTATCTTGCAGGTGAAGAATTTTCTTTCCTGAAAGATTTTTCTAACATGGTCTCTGCCGAAGAAAGACAATACGTGATGAAAATTGCCAATTCCCTCTTTGTGCAAAATGGATTTCATATCAATGATGAGTTCTTGCAAATGATGAAAAAGTACTTTAATGCAGAAGTTAATCATGTGGATTTCAGTCAAAATGTAGCTGTGGCCAACTACATCAATAAGTGGGTGGAGAATTATACAAACAGTATGTGCTTTCTTTTCACTACTTAGCTCAATTTTAAACATCTTTTACTTTAGGAGGTGTCTTTGCTTTTACTAAATAAGTAAAATCTGTGGCCATGGGTAGAATATTGGCTTTGATCATCTTTTATCAATAGAGGAAACTCTCCTGTACAGTTACTCTATGAAATTTTGCTTGAACTATCTGATAAATTAGAGACAGAATGGTAGTTGGTGATAGTTTCATTTTAAAATTAAAATAAAATAAGAAAGAAATAAAAATAAATTTTTGAAGGTATTTCTTGGTTTTATAGCCATGACAGCTAATAGGCATTTTTTTCTTTTTCTCCATTTTTTAATTTAAATTAGAAACAAGATTATTTTACCTGTCAATCCCAGTTCCCTCTGCCTCCCCTCCTTCACTGCCCCCCCTCCCAACTAACACTTTACCTATCCCATACCTTTTCTGCTCCCCAGGGAGAGTGAGGACTTCCATAGGGGGTCTTCAGAGTCTGTCATATCCTTTGGGATAGGGCCTAGTATCCCTCTATGTGGAATGGGCTCCCAAAGTTAACAAGTAATTTTAACAAGTGAAAAATATTCATTCTAAAATGAATGGACCACTGTAGCTCAAATTAGTAAAGAGGAATTAGAAATAGGCTGCATATACTATGCATTTTATTTCTAATTCCTGTTTGTTGTTTCAAGATTTATTTTTATTATATATATATATGTGTGTGTGTGTGTGTGTGTGTGTGTGTGTGTGTGTGTGTATTTGAACCACTTACATATTGGTTGAGGCCACAAAAGAGCTTTAGATCCCCTGGAACTGGGGTGTAAGCCTGTGGGTATTGGGAACCAACCATTCATGGGTCCTGTGTAAGAGCAGCAAGTGCTCTTAACTGCTGAGATGTTGCTCCAGCCCCCATAATTCATATTTTAAATATGTTTAAGACTTGTAGATGGTTAAAATTTCATCATTTATTTTCCAACTAACCAGTTAGATAATTGAAATAATAATCTACAAATTGAGACTAATTAAAAGTAGTTTAATGAAAGAGGGGGGAGAAAATCAATGTAGGAGAATATGTAGAAAATGTACAATAAACAGTATACATGATGTATGAAAATTTAAAAATGAATTAAAGATAAATTAATATTTTAAGTAGATTAGTATAGCTGTTTGTTATATGAAACATCATTGTCAAAACTTCCCAAATATAAAATCTTATATTAGAAGAAAAAACATTATCAGATACTACCCTACAACACATACAACCCAGAGATAGTGCTTATCTTAAAGAAGTCATATGGTTGACAAAATGAGAAAATGTTAAATCAATTTGATCTTACTTTTTTAAAGTATGAGATTGATTTGTGGTATAAAGGATACATTTTAACATTATCAAGAATTCAGAGAGAATAACTATCTACCTAAAATATGTTGCATTATTAAAATATGTTAGCTTTCAAATTCTTTTGGTCACTTAGGAAATATCAGTAACTTACTGTTTTTCAGGATAGACTTGAAAAAGATTTCAAGTGATAGAGAAAGTAATGTATCATGAATTAAATTAGCTTTCAATTATCTGTTTGCATCTCATCAAAAGCAGGAGGAAGATGACAATAGTCAGTGGACAAGTTTGAATAGAATGACACTTATATGCCCTGTTGAAGAGTAAAATTTAATGGGTAGAGAGTTGGCTCAGTACTTAAGAGCACTTGATGCTCTTTCAGAAGACCCGAGTTTAGTTCCCAACACCTCAGGGTATCTCACAACCATCCATAATTGTAGTTCCTGGGGATATGAAACCCACTTCTGACCTCCAGGAGTACCATACATATGCATGGTACACAGGCATACATCCAGGCAAAACACACAAACACATAAAATAAAAATAAATGAATCTTTAAAAAGTAACCTTTGAGAAATCACTGTGCTTTGTCTATGTTCATAGTTTTACATGCATCATTGCACCAAGGAATTGGGTAAGGCCAAGATGTCCTTGGATGTGAGTGGGGAGTTTTTGTGTCAGAATGCTACTAGACATAATCTTGTTTTGGATAGCCTTTATTGATAATGATGTAATTATTTGTGTATGATAGCATTTTTCCTTTAGAAGTAAGATCCTTCTACCTTTGTTATATACACATCTTTCATTCTTAGGGACCACTCTTTTAGAGGGTGGTATGGAAAAATTTTTATTTGTCCTTCCACTTTTCAATTTAATGTGAATTCTCATCGACTTCACCTAAACAGGTCTGTTGAAAGATTTGGTATCTCCAAGGGACTTTGATGCTGTCACTCATCTGGCCCTCATCAATGCTGTGTACTTCAAAGGGAATTGGAAATCACAGTTTAGACCTGAAAATACCAGAACTTTTTCCTTCACTAAAGATGATGAAAGTGAAGTACAGATTCCAATGATGTATCAACAAGGAGAATTTTATTATGGTAAGACAGTTTTTATGTTTTTTAATTCTTGTACTATATCAACAAATCTTTAGAAGTATGAGATATTTATTGCTCCGACTCCCAGAGAATATAATTTGGGATATAGCTCAATTTTCTTGGCTACATTTCCAAATGCTTGTCATTAGATCATGACTGAATAGTATAGTATTGACAGTTTTCCAACATAAATCTTTAATTTATAAAGTTAATTACACCTGCCAAGTGGCTTTACTCATCTAAAATGATCTGATATTGGGTTGGCAAGTTGACTTTCTGGGTTAAGCATTTGCTATGTAAGCATGAGGACCAGAGTTTCAATGCCCAGCACTCAACCCAAACTGGACCCTATATTGTGCACTCATAATCCCAGTGCTGGTACTTTGAGATAGGAGTTTCCCTGGAAACACATGCATGGCACAGGTAGTCTGTTAAGACACAATAGTAAAACAATGCCAGTCGTGCTATCACATGAAGAAGTAGGCAAGGACCTCCATATATGCTTCATGATATCTTTGTACCTACACACACACACACACACACACACACACACACACACAGGCACAAACACATACAGAGGCACACACACACACACACACCCCTGATCTTGTGTGATAAAATGGCTGAATAAACATTAGACTGTAAATCTAAACACAGAGGTTATAGCCCTGTTTTTTTTTTTTTTTCAAGTCTTAAGGTGATAATCACATTGAATTGCAAATTCGAAGGGGTAGAGAACAGACTCTAGTAAGTCCTCTCCTGCCCCCTTTCTGATAGGTGGGAGAAGTAGATTGAAGCCAGTAGTTGAGTGTTTAGCTGTTAACTAAAATTTCATAGGTTTGACTCCTATCAGTCTAGTGGAGAATTTAGCTTGATTAAAACAATTGATTCACATATAGTCTTGCAATCCTTATGCAGAAGTTAAACTTGTGAGTTTAGTAAGAGCTTTGAAGGGTTTGGACTGTCTTATCCTGAACTTCTTATACAATTATTAGGCAAAGAGGGGGAATGTAAATGCACACACAGGCACACACACACACACACACACACACACACACACACACACCAGAATTTCTGATCTTGTGTGATAACATTTTAATTTATTTCACCAAACAATTGGCTTTGGGATGGTCTTCAGCTTTATGGTTCACCCAGAATCTGATTTAGTTTTAAACATTCTTATTAAATATTTTTCTTTTTCTTTCCTTTTAACTTTTTAAATGTACTTGTTTGTTTGTGAGCTTGTATACCATGGCTCATGTGTGGAGGTCAAAGACATCTGGAGTGAGTTGGTTCTCTTTTTCCACCATAATAAGATCCCCAGAACTTGGCAGCAATTGCCTTCCTCCCTTAAACATCTTACCAGGCCCTTGTAAAATTTTTCTTTAAAACTGAAATATCAGGGGCTGGAGGAATAGTTCTTCAGTTAAAAATCACTTTCTGTTATTGTAGAAGATTTGGGTTCGATCTCCAGCACCCACATTTAACAGCTCACACCTGCTCATAATTCCAGTTTCCTGGGATCTGATGTCCTCTTCTGGCCTCCTTGGCACCCTCAATCATGCAGTACACTTACATATATCCAACTACACAAACATATACAAAAAAAAATCTAAAATGGACTTTAAAACATTTTAGATCTCAGTTTTGTGTTTGTACGGCTGAGAGAACTGTATTTCATGATGCAATTCAATATCTTTGACATTATTTTCATTGAATTTCTTTGGACTCTTCAGATGTTTAAGCTATTATTTCCTCTTCAATTATATAATTAGTTAGATCATTAGCAGAAATGTAATTTTATAATGAATATACAACCAACAGTTTTAACTATGAAAACCAAGATGGTTAGTTTCATGTCTAATATAATTAGGAAAATATTAATAACAGATATATTATTCTTAGTTTGTTGATAGAGAAAATTTAAAGTAATGGCAAAAGGGTGTATTTAAAAGACTCTCTCTCTGCATGTGTGTGTGTGTGTGTGTGTGTGTGTGTGTGTGTGTGTGTGTGAGTTTCTGCTTGTATGCACACATGCCTAAGAAATTAATCTAAATTAATGAAAGACAAAATGAATTATCTCACTTATTAATGGCTGACTTTGAGAACTTTATTATTGTAAATACACTTGATATACAGTATATAATGTTTTGATTTTATTTTAGCAGGCAACATTGGGTTTGTATCTTCTAATTGTGATAGTGGAGTACCAAAATAATACAAATTATTTTCTTAAAAATCAAAGAATACAAGTTGTTACACCCAACTTGAAGACAGGGATTTATTTTTAGAATCAGAGTTTTCACTATGTTAAATTGAATTATTGTATTTAAAATTAAAAACGAGTCTAGAGAACATAAAACATGTGAGATAATTCTGGGAATTCAAAAGTTTATACATTTTGCCAGGCGTTGGTGGCACACACCTTTAATCCCAGCACTTGGGAGGCAGAGGCAGGCAGATCTCTGTGAGTTTGAGGCCAGCTTGGTCTCCAGAGCGAGTGCCAGGATAGGCTCCAAAGCTACACAGAAAAACCCTGTTTCAGAACCCCCTCCCCCAAAAGAAGTATATACATTTTGGAGGTGACGATTTATTTACTTTCAAGGCATTTCTCAAATACATCATTTTTCTTTGGATACCTAAGTCTTTTTGTTTCCTAAACATTATTTCACTTTCTTTTAAAAAGATTTATTTTATCTGCATGGGTATTTTCTTACATGTATGTATGTATTATGGGTACCACAAATGTGCTTGTCTGGCAGGCAGCAAGAAGAGGGCATTTGGATCTTGTGGACATGAAGTTACATATGGTTGTGAGCCACTGTGTATATTCAAAAAACTGAACCCAGGTCTTCTGCAAGAGTCCATGCAGATCACCACATTCTTTTCAAGTAAAGACATAAGACACTGAAATCATTTTTGAAAGCTTTGATATGAACCTTAAAGCCTTTATTTTGTTTTTAGGGGAATTTAGTGATGGATCCAACGAGGCTGGTGGCATCTACCAAGTTCTAGAAATACCCTATGAGGGAGATGAGATTAGCATGATGCTGGTACTGTCCAGACAGGAAGTTCCACTGGCCACACTGGAGCCTCTGCTCAAAGCACAGCTGATTGAAGAATGGACAAACTCTGTTAAAAAACAAAAGGTGGAAGTATACCTTCCCAGGTGAGAGTTCCTGTGTGGCCCTTTGTTTAGCACAATACCTACTGTGATGCAGAAAATCTCTTGCCAGTGCTTTTGAATTTTCAGTGTTCTCTTCTTTCTCCTACTCCTCCAATTCCTCCTTTTTCATCATCCTTTCCCCGTTTCTTCCTCCTTTTTACTGTTTTCCTCCTCCTTTGTCTCCTCTTCTTCCTCCATTTACTCTATCTTCTCTTTCTTCTTTCTCTCTTCTTGTCCTTATCCTTAATATTCATCCATACAGACATGATCCTACCCATAAATGTACATCTACTCTGATTTGTGAAGCACTAAATACCATGAGTTGCTGAAGTTTAATGTGGAAATTACCAATACGGAGTCAGGTAAAAATACAAGGGAATTTAATAGGGAAAAGCCTTACTTACAGAGCTACCTAGCCAGCCAGCAGGCAGCAGTAAGTACAGCAAGCAGAAGAAGAAATCGAAAGCAGGGCAACCAGGAAAGCTTCCCTTTCCCTACATCACCCTGACCACGCCCTCGCAGATGTGGTCAGGCACACCTGTAGCCAGCCCCTAAGCAGGCGTGGCTACAGCATCCCCTACAGAAGTTGATTATTGCTGGGGAGAAAACCTCTGCCATTACTGGAAGCACTTACAAACAATCCACTGTAGTAGGTACTGACATATATATAAACAAGAAACAAATCTACTCAAAATCTTCCCTGTGTCCAGAAGCGTAAGATGTATGCATGGCTTTACTACTGTGACTACTCTTCTCTTGGATTCCACCTCAGGGCCCTTAGCACATCACATTCATATTTAACAGCATGTTGTTTCCACTTCCTGATAGCTATGCCACATGTATGACTGCTTTTCTATGTCTGAGGCCTCCATGTATATTCCTGCATTGATCTTTAGTGTCCTCCAGGTATTGTTTACTTAGGTTTAAGGGTCAGTTGTGACCCTAGACCTTCAAGGAAGCCATCCATGAAGCATGGCCTCACAAACATAATGAATAATTTAGGTGAGATAACAAGATATACTCATTAATAACATGTGTGTTTTTCACAGCAGTACAGCTCTAGGACTTATTTTATATTAAAAATTATTCAAATACTGGTTTCTATAAATATTAAAAATTAATAAAGCTGGATTATGAAATCTTATTATTTCATATGGATTCCAAAGTGATGTTCAAAAGTTCTAATTTATGTAAATGCCTATTTTATTCAAATACTTAGCTGATGATTTGCCTTTGTAAATGAAAAATATCTAGTGGTATTGATATTTGTAGCAAGAGAATGATAAACTCTTCATATATATATGTGTATATATATATATATATATATATATAACTATACCTTGATTAGTATTCTTATGAAACTAAAGTAATCATAACCCAAATATTTAAGGCATCTAAGAATCACTTTCCATGATGATACATTTACATAGAAAGATTCTAATAATTCTAGTCTATTCTGAAGTAGTCATTGAATATCTAACAAATGATAGCAATTTGTTAAAATATAAAAATTTATTTCATATATTTTTATGAACAAGGATATTTATAACTAATATTTTGTTGTCAACATTCATAATTAAATATCAAATATTGTGTAAGGCTCAAATTTGTAAACAATTTAACCCATGTTTAAACTCATTTCATGATCTTTTTATTATGAATTTAATAGTTTTCCTCATAAGAAGTTCCTTTTGATCACACAACAAATTCAATACAGTGTTAATGCTTCAGTAATTAAATTTCATAAGCTAAGTGTAGTGTCTCCAAAAGCTTCCATTCTATGAAGATACAGTTACTTACGGGTATTTTTGCAGAATACTAAATGAGTGCTTAAGAAGTACTATATATTCGAACTCATCCAAACTCACTAGAAATGTCTCTTCCAGGTCATGTCCTCTGAAAAATAAAATATGGTAGCAGAAGAAAATTAAATTTTCATTTTCTAAGAGTTATTCTTCAACTATGAAATAGTTTAGTTCCCTTGCTTTTTAAAAATGCCTATTGCTAATACTAACTACCATGTCTCCATTTCTTTAGGAGTTTTATGAACTCTCCCTCTGCATGGCTAATACTCAGATAGGAAGGGTAAATAGCTCAATGGAGATACATTTGATTTTTCTTTTGTAACAAAGTGAATGTTTTGAAACAGGTGTTTGATGTAATAATCAACTACAAAGCTGTGTGCATTCTGTAGAATTTAGAGCCTCTAAGCATTTGATGAAGGTAGTGGCTTCTACGCCCCAATTTGAGCAAACATAAAAATGACTCTAATAGATATACTCGAGGTATTCTCAAGGATCAGTTTTTAATAACTCATGTAGTTTTCACAGGGAGACATTATTCCAAAAATTCTAGCTTGTATTTCCATAACTGCTGTCTTGTCCTACCAAACAGGTACTTTCAATTTCAGCTATACTAGAGTTTACATGGACAGTATAAAACACCAACCATCCTTAAGGGTGATAGAGTAGAAGCCTGAGGGTGTGGCTCAGTTGGTAGAGTGCTTGCTTAGCATTCCTGCAGCTCTGGGGTCTGTTCCTAGCACTGCATGAACTGTGTATGGTGATACACATTTTTAATCCCAGAATTCCAGACGTGGTGCCAGGGGATCAGAAGTTCAAGGCCATCTTCAGCTACATACTAAGTGTGAGGCCAGAGATCTGTAGGGAATTTGGAAAACTGGTACAGTCAGAAAGATCTACTATCTACTATCTTCATTTTTCCCTTTAATCTGTCTGACTTGAGCAAGTGGCTTAGCTTTTTTACATTTCAATTTTTTCTTTTCTTTTCTTTTTTCTTCTTTCTTTTTTTTGGGGGGGGGTATCCTAGAAAAAACATGATTTCCCTCTCAGGTTATCTGACATCATGATAAGAAACAGGACGGGGTATGTAAAATGTGTTTGAGGCGGGACAGTAATAGATAGATGGGCTAATAGTCTGTAATAAAAGAAGAGTTGATGATTGGACAGGATTTTCAGTTGCTTGCAAAGGACAAACAGACAGGAATAGACAACTAGAAATTATTGACAACTTTTGTTAACTTGGAACAAACATCTTAGACAAAGCTAGATTTTAGATACTTGGACTGGTGTAGATTTTCCTATTCAAGCTATTACAAACATTAAACTGAAGAATTCTGTTTTCAAAATGAATATTCATATTTTGCTTTAAACAATCAATAGAAGTCTAATTTAAAGTAAAAAAATATAGTAAATTTCAGTATTTGGATTAGTATGTTTGATCTACAGAGAGTTGTCTCTTGGTCTAATTTGGGAAACATTAACCTGCCCAAATTAGTTCCCCCAATTATTCCTCTTTATGTCTGAGTATTTTTAAACACTATTTCTTGCTAGTTCTTATGGTGTCAGAAACTATGCAAATGTAATGTGTAGTGGACGATCCAGTTTATCTCATTGAAGACACGGCTAACACTGAACGAAATGGAGTCAGAATTAGATTGCCAGCAGGTAGTTTATTAAAGGGATAGTACTCATGCAAGGGCCAGTGACCAGGTTTACACCAGAGCCAGAGGGACCCGCAGATGTCCGCTCAGCCAGGGTTGAGTGTGTGCCTCTCTCATACTTAAACCCTTGCTATGTCACTCTGACCACACCCAAGTGGACATGGTCAGTGGTACCTAGCATGGTCAGCAGTACCTCTAAACAGGATTACTCCTTACACATGGCCCATTGTCTAAAAATTTATATGCAGCATTTGTAGTCAGCAAAAGGCAGCATCAGAAAAAGGAAAACATTTCTTTCTGACATATTTTTGTTTTGTTTCTAAAGTATTAAACACATTTTTCTTTATTAAATTAAAAAGGCAAAGGCATGTTCATTCAATATCTCTTCATAGAATGACTAATAACATGAGATAATTATGGAGATATTATATATATTAGCCAGAAAGCTTTACCATAGAAAACATTTATATAAAGTTAATGTTCCATTTATGGCTATGATAATTAGTGTTTTATTCCTTCTTGCAAAGTTGACACATTTTTGTCCATAATTCAAAATCCCTTAAAAAATGAAGCCCGGGCGGGCGTCTGTGGCACATGCCTTTAATCCCAGCACTCGGGAGGCAGAGGCAGGCAGATCTCTGTGAGTTTGAGGCCAGCCTGGTCTTCAGAGCAAGTGCCAGGATAGGCTCCAAAAGCTACCTAGAGAAACCTTGTCTCGAAAAACAACAACAACAACAAAAAATGAAGTCCCTTTTTGTTTGCAAAAGCTCTACTCTAATTGTAAAATCTTAAAAAACTGAAGATATAATATTTGCCTCATTTTCATTGATAAGTAATTTCTTGTAGTAGTATCATGAAAACATGCTTCTATATGTACCACAGTTTAATGTAAACACAGTGATGATTTTTTAATATAAGATATTTCATGGGGTTGAAATGCTTATTGTATTAATTGTACAGTCAAATTTTCTACTTGTTTAACCCTATCCATGGTGGGTGGATGATGGAGAGGAAGCATTAATTGATCAGATATTGAAAAAAAAACACATAAAAGAAAGAAAGAAAAACAGAGCCTGATTAAATTTGTGGGTAAATTTAAGGTTAATTATTATCAGCTTGAAAAACACCATAGATATTACTAATTATCAGAATATTTTGAGAATTAATCATTTATGGATTTAAAAATGTTTTTATATTTATTATTATGTGTATGTGTGTGGGGAGGGAGGGGGTTATGAATGTGTGAAATCAGAGAACAATTTCTAGGGTCACTTTTTCCTTCCACTGTGTTGGTTCTGGGAATCAGATTCCAGTTACTAGGCTTGATGGAAAATCCCTTTATCCACTGAGCCATCTCACTGGCCCCTTTAAAAAGTTTTACATAGTACTTAATAGAACCTAACTTCAAAGCTCCTTTGAAGTTGTGTGTCCATAGCAAATATTTTTATAGTTTTTTTATTTAGAAACAATCATTTTTCATGTCAATATACCAAATGTTTTTTCTGTTAGTGAATTTAAATCCTATTGTGTTATGTCATTTACTTTGATCCATCTTTTTTAATTGAAAAAATCATTTTTTATACAATATATTCTAATTTCGCTTTCTCCTTCACTAATTCTTAGATTTTCTTGATCCTTTTATCTACACAACTCCAAACAGACTCTCTCTAAAAATCAAACAAACAATAGCAAGAATCTCTCTTTTCTCTTTCTCACATACTCACACAACCAACTCACTCCCCCAAATACGTAGAAACCACACAAATCAAAATATACAATCCAAAGACAAATAGGACAAAAAAACAATTCCAAACAAAAAATATAAGGCAAATAGTTGACAAAATGCCATTAAATTCAAGTTTCTTTTGTGTTGACCACAACCTACATAGGTTCAAGCCAGATAGGAGTCCTGGCATTGATAAGGAGAATGGACAAAGATTGTCACACTTAGCCATGAATCTATCTGTAATTGGTACGACTTGCAAAGGAAAACTTTCCCTTCTCCAATTTTGATCCCACCATTTTCATAAAAACAATCACGTACTTCTTTCAGTCAATAGTCAGCTTTAGCATCATTTATCCACTATAAAACACACTTTTGGGCTGGAGATACGGCTCAGAGGTTAAGAGCACTGACTGCTCTTCCAGAGGTCCTGAGTTCAATTCCCAGCAACCACATAATGGCTCACAACCATCCACTATGAGATCTGGTGCCCTTCTCTGGTGTGCAGATATACATGGAAGCAAAATGTTGTATACATAATAAATAAATAAAATCTTAAAAAAAAAACACTTTTGTCATCAACATTCTGAGCATTATATCCTTGTTCCGGTAAGAAGCTGTTGTTAGTGAAATACTTTCTTGCCATATGTTCTCCAGGTTCACAGTGGAGCAGGAAATTGATTTAAAAGACATCTTTAAAGCCCTTGGAGTCACTGAAATTTTCATCAAAGATGCAAATTTGACTGCCATGTCAGGTAAAAAATAATTATTAATTAAATATTATTCATAAAAAGCTTTTCAAAATAATGATCCTATGCCTATCACTTCTCATGGATTTCTTTTATTTCACTCTCTCTTTAATTTAAATTAGAAACAATCTTGTTTTATATGTCAATCCCAGTTCCCTCTCCCTCCCCTCCTCCCCTGCACCCCACAGGCTCCTTATCCTATCCCATTTCTGCTCCCCAGGGAGGGTGAGACCTTCCATGAGGGATCTTGGAAGTTTGTTACATAATTTGGAGCAGGGGCTAGGCCCTCCCACATGTGTCTAGGCTGAGAGAGTATCCCTCTATGCAGAATGGCTTTCCATAGTCCAATCATACACTAGGAATAAATACTGTTCCACTACCAGAGACCCATAGACTGCCCAGGCCTCCTAACTGATACCTGTGTTCAGGGGATCTGGGCCAGTCCTATGCTGGTTTCCCAGCTATCAGTTTGGGGTTCATGAGTTCCCCTTGTTCAGGTCAGCTGTTTTTGTGGGTTTCTCCAGACTGGCCTTGACCCCTTTGCTCATCACTCCTCCCTCTCTGCAACTGGATTCCAGGAGTTTGGCTTAGTGCTTAGCTGTGAAACTCTGCTTCTGCTTCCATCAGCTACTGGATGAAGACTCTAGGATGGCATATAAGGTAGTCATCAATCTCATTATAGAGAAAGAGCATTTAAGGTAGCCTCTCCACTATTGCTTAGATTCTTAGTTGTTGTCAACCTTGATATCTGGACATTTCCCTAGTGCCAGATTTCTCTTTAAACCTATAATGGCTCCCTCTATGATGGTATCTCTTTTCTTGCTCTCCTCTATTTTTCCCCTGACTAGATCTTCCCTCTCCCTCATGTCCTCCTCTCCCCTCCTCTTCTACCCTTCTCTTTCTCCTAACTCCTTCTCCCCTCCCTAAATGTTCCCAATTTGCTCAGGAGATCTTGTCCCTTTCCCTTTCTCTGGGGGACCATGTATGTCTCTCTTATGGTCCTCTTTGCTTCCCAGTTCTCTGGTGGTGTGGATTGTAGGCTGGTAGTCTTTTGTTCTATGTCTAAAATCCATATATGAGTGAGTACATACCATGTTTGTTTGGTTTTTTTTTGTGACTAGGTTTCTTCTAGTTCCATCCATTTGCCTGCGAATCTCAAAATTCCATTGCCCTTTTTTCCCGTGAGTAGTACTCCATTGTGTAAATGTACCACATTTTTTTTCAATCCATTCAATCCATTCAGTTGAGGGTCACATCTAGGTTGCTTCCAGGTTCTGGCTATTACAAATAATGCTACTATGAACATAGTTGAACAGATTCCTTGTTGTATGAATGTGCATCCTTTGGGTGTATGTCTAAGAGTGGAATTGCTGAATCTTGAGGTAGACTGATTCCCATTTTACTGAGGAACCGCCATACTGATTTCCAAAGTGGCTGTATGAGTTTGCAATCCCACTAGCAGAGAGAGAGAATCATAGGGTTCAAAAATCCTAATACTTGCTCTCTCAGGGTTAGGATAGTGAGAGTTGTTACTGAGCATCACTCAGATTCTAGCAATGAGCTGAGAATGATGTTTTTGATGTATTTGGTGATGTAACTTCTGCTCCTCATTCAGGGAGCTTGATGCCCTAAGCACCAACAGATATTCTTTAAGAGCCTACTGTGTAGATGACCCTGTCTATGCAAGAGAGAAGTATTTTCCTTTAGTAAATGTCTTCAGGGCTCATGTCCAAGTTCTTAGAGCTAAAAGCCCCACATTGGCATAGTCAGGAAGGCCAGACTATTGGAGTTAAGAAAGATCATCTGCTGTCTCTATACCTGAGTTAGAAATATATTCATAGCTGAAGCATAGCATAAAATTCTAATGCTGTCTTCCTTATAAATTTAGAACATTGATCTTACTCTACTGGCTGAGTTCCCGCTGGATAATTACATTCTACTTTCTTTACCGTGATTCCTCACTGTCTCCCAAGCATTCAGGCAGATATTTTACCCAAATATAATATCAACTGCCACTCAGTTCTGAGGGGTTAGCTCTGCTAAAGCAAGTCAATCACTGTGATCAGCGTGACTTACAATTTTAGACATAGTTAGGTTCATAAAGTAATATTTCGTTGATTTTCCTACCACAGCAAACCATAATGTTTGCTATGAATCAGATGGCTTGGAGATTTGGAATAAAACTAAAATCTTTCAGAGAGTTTTTAGTAGTCTGTATGCAAAGTGTCTAGTTATTTGACCAAACCTACTAGAAAGAGTTGGCACACAGTAAATGTTTGCTGGACACTAAAGCAGGTTTAGGGAAGAAGGAAATAAGGCTATTTCGGTCCACTTTACACACTTGAGAAGTCATTTACCAACCAGCACTTGCCATCTTAAACACCATCCTGTTTAGGCTTTGTATTGCTTCAATGAATCTGAAGTAAACCACTTACAATTTGCAGTGAGAACTCTTGCATTGTTAAATTAGGAGTTCCATTAAACAGTGGTAGCTCTAGCATGCCAGCCACCCCAACTAATCCTCCTTTCTCCCTCCCTCTTTAGCACTTCTCTCCCTCCCTTTCTCTTCCCTTTCTCCTTCATTAATTTATGAACCATCCCTTTGTTTGCCTCTGCTTCTTTTAATTTCAGTGTGATTTCTTGGCCTTGGTTATTTGAGCACCATATGCTCTACCTTCCATGGTTCAAATCCTTTTTAGAAGAGTAAATTTTCACCTCTCCATATAACACAAAACCTTGACAGTGAAAGGTTCTCTAATTCTTAGTGACCCTCACAAGGACACAATAAAAGTATTTGCATGTGTTTAGTTAATGCTTTCTTAAGGTTTATGGGGGTGTTAATGATATATTAAGCGAGTGATATTTTGTGCTGTGGCTATTATTTTCTCAAAACACCTGCTAGTGAGGCAAATGAATAAGAAAAGTGCTATGTTACACATTTAAGAAAAATCTTACCTGACCCAAAGAAAGAAACACGAACAGCTTTAAACTTTATTTGTTTATGCTTATGTGTAAGGATATTTAGCTTAAAGTATATTTGTGTACCACATGTGTATAGTGCCCAACAAAGCCAGAAGAAGGTGGCCGATCTTCTGGGACTAGAAAGTTGTTAGTTGAGGGTGCTTGAAATCACATCTGGGTACTTTGGTAGAGCAGCTAGATCTTCTAACCACTGAGCCATGCCTCCGTCCCCAAAGCATGGGGTACTTATGGGGAGAAAGACATAGCAGCCAATTTATTATAAGAAATACTGGAAGAACCACTAACAGTGATTCTCAAGGTCACGTTTCCTCTCCACTCCCACCACAGGGAAGAGTCAGCAATAGCTCAAGACCCTCTTATGTATCGTAATGGGAAATGGTCCATTTCCAGTTGGAGGCCAGTTGTGCCTCTGAACATCCTCAATGAACAACACAGGGTCCCACAATGACTAAGTACCCGATCTTAAATGTCAGCAGTGACTCGAGGCTGGGACAACACCGGTTAGAGAAAACATTATGGGCACAGGGGAGAAAATACGGCAAAAGTCAAATGAAACTCCCTGCAAAGGATGGAAGAGAGTATGTATAGACGTCTTTCAATGTGTTTAGAAAGAAGTATTGAAATGTTGAGAATCATTTCAGCTAGACAGGCTGTACAGCAAGCCACGGGGATCTGCTTGCCATGTCCTCTCACAGCTGGGGGGGGGCGGTGACAGATGTATTGGTACACATCTGGCCTTTTCACATGAGTACTGGGGATCAGAATTTAGGTCCTCATGCTTGTATGGCATGCTCTTTACACATAGTCATCTAACCGGCCTAGACCTTTCATTTCTTACAGAGCTTGGTACTATTTGGAATGTTACCTTGCACATGTGTTTCTATGTCAACAAAAATTTTACTTAAAGTTTAAAAAAGATATTTAAAAACAATAGTGGAATGAATCTGTACCTTTGAAAGAATTAAAAATACAAAAACAAACAAACAAACAAAAAAAACCAAAAAACTACTCCATGGTGGTAAAAACACTAGATTCTTAAAGCACAAATGGAGAAAAAAACAAACTACCTGCATCAGCTCCTTTTGCTTCAGGGGAAACTGAGTGACTTGAAATCCTTCACTGAGACTTCTCGGGGAGGCTTTTCCATTTTTAATCCCTTTGAATCCACTCTTGTGGGAATGCTTCTTAGGGCTGCCCTAGGCTACTTCAATGCTCTGCTAAATGGTTTCCAATCTCTCTCTCTAACCTAATCTGTTGTATCTTCCACTGCCAAGATTAATCACTTTAATAGTCCCCCTCAGACGCATCGCTGCACAGGCTCCGAGCTTCCTTCGCTTTGCAGCTCACTGTTCCCTGTTGCACAGGGAACTGAGAGGTCCTCCCTCTAAAGTTCAGTCCTTCAACTTAGCTTGTGTTCCAGTCATTAGGAACACTTGCTCTGCCTATCTCCCCAACCCCTCACATCTGGGAAATCTCTTCCACCTGAATTGAGCCTCACCTCCAGATAGCCCGTATTTCATCAAGCCGCCATGATTGCATCACTAGAAGCAACTACTCATTAAATCCCTAGTATTTTGTTTTCTTTGTTGCACACCACACAACTTATTTCATATTTATGTTACTTATGCATCTAGTATCCCGGGTAGAATGTAAATGCCCCAAAGATTTGATTCTGATGCATGTGTCCTCAGTGCCTACCACTCTTACTTGCTTGGTACTCACTGAATACAGATGTAAATGAGTAGGATGCTCAATATTTATTAAGTTGACTTCTCCATCTCAATTTGATATCCATTGCTTCTGATGCTAAATCCCATTAACATAAAGCACAGTAAAGACTCATACAACAAACGTGGAATGCACAGTGCTGAGAACCATTTTCTTCTCAGGCTTCGTTTAAAATGCTCAGGTAGCTGCAGCAAGGATTCTATTATAGAGGAAGGTTGTTTTATAATGAAAATGAATGGCATTTGGATTGATAGGTAATCTTCTTGGAAAGTATAAGGACAAGAAAAAGAGACTAC